TATATATATAGAGAGAGAGAGAGAGAGAGAGAGAGTAATAAACAAGCGAATGAAAAATACGGTATTATTGTATATTAAGCGTTTATACAAATGTGACAAAAGGTAAAACAAATTTTTTTATTGCATATCTACCTGTTGTATCCATTTTGAAAATGACGTCTAGTACATTTTCATTGTTATCTCCGTCTTTGTAATTTGCGATTCCTGCGAATATATGTCCATCAGTTTCAAATAATGTTGAGTAGCGAACTTTCTTATTTTGTAGCAAACCAATTTGTGAAAACTGTTTGTTTATGTTGTTCCATTGATAAACCACAGATTGAGTATGAGTTGATATAAGTAAATATCGGCTCTCGTTATTCGCCCTCAAATAAAATACATCAATAGGCTCGTATGTCGTAAACAGTTGGTGCACTTCAAAATCACCTAAAAAATGTATAAAGTACTTTAATAATGCCATCCACCTGTACAATGCAATTGCCAAGAGAAACTGATTCTGGCTGCTGTTACCTTATATTTATATCTCACGCATAACTATACCTTTTTATTATTTTTTATGTATTTTAATATATAAAGTATTGCTTTTATATATATATATATATATATATATATATATATATATATATATATACATTTTAAATTGCAATTTCAAAGAGAAACTGTCATTGTATTTTTACTTTCAAGACCAATAAAGTTCTGTATTCTGTATATATAATTTTAAGCGGTGAGAGTTAAAATATTCATCCCAATCCGGATTATCAATCAATCAAATAATTAATATAATGCCAGATTCCTTAAAACAAATGTTATAACATCAAGGTCTTAAGTTTCCTTTTTAAAATGTCGACTGAATGGGACGTCCCAAAAATCATGCTGGAGATAGTTCCATAAACAAGGTGCAGCACCCCTAGAAATGTTACACGTGAAGCAATTAACTCTTAGACGTTTTGCAGTATTATATGAATATAAATTGATTGATTTACATGTGTGCATCAAATACTAGTGTATTGTTTTTCAAAGAAAACCTCAGTGGTTGGTTAAGGCGTTTGCATAGACAAGAGATGATTTCGGTTGGAGCTATAATTTCGCACTCGCAGATCCTTCTCAAACGTTTTCAATATATGATAGTGAGAGATTGCAGGTTTGATTACCACCAGAGACCTCTTTTTTCATATAATAAGGAACTTTCGTTAGTGAAGTATGGCTATGTTCTCACACGGCTGCTAACGGTTAGCAGGATCCACCGTTAGCTGCCGTGCGTCCATACGAGAAAATACGCACTTTACGCAAGAGGACCGGGAGCCGTCGAGAACGGCAATTCGGATTGAGCGCCCTATTCTTTACTGTGGTCTGATGAGCACAAAACCACCGTCTACCTGTCGTACCGTCCTGTTGCGTAAAGTGCCTATTCCCGATCCGGATACCAAAAATATGATGATCGAATCACTGGCCAATAAGAAACTGGAAATTGTAAATCACTTGTTAACCGATAGCGCTTGCTATCTGGATACCGCTAACTGTTAGCGCTAAACGATCGGGCGTTCTCACACAGGTGCTAATGGTTAGCGCTAACGGTTAGCTCCCGATCAGGATACTAGGGCTCTCGTGAGAACCTAGCTTATGTTTGCTACTATTTATATTATTTATAACATCATGTTCCTATATTGATTTATGAAATATATATA